CAGCTCAGTCTAGTGTATATACACGTACATATGTACATATATAAGCACATAAAAAGTAATATTTGTACGAATATAATGTAACTTTTTATTTCCAATTTCAGTATTTGACATTTAGCTATGCACATACATATGTATGTATGTACATGCAGTCAGCAAACTAACGTTAGTTGGTCATGGGTATAAGAACGCCAACATTGGTCAAATCCAAGAGTGAGCAAATAAATGATTTAGAAGCGTAAACTTTTTGGCACACGTTACCAACCAGTAGACTCAGATACTGCGGTAGAAGAGGAAGAAGAAGAAGAAGAAGAAGAACAACACATAAAGGTTAACAATTCAAACTAAATCTCCAAGCATTTCCAATCCCATAAATTTCATTGCAAATAAATATGTGTGTATGTGGCTTATAACTAATCAACGGTAAGATGAAGAGAAGAGGAAAGTAAGTGCTGTATCCCTACGAAATCGTACAGAATGGTACTGGTTGTGGGGCCTTCAAGCTCACACTTTAAGTGAAAGAGCATCTAACCCTCCTTTCCCTCTGGTCCGAGCACGAACTACTGTCTCTATGGGTTGTAGTCTTTACTTTAACCGCAACACATCACTCTTGCTCTGTCCCAGGACAACTTAGAAGATTATTCCAAATCGCCAACAGTTGTGGTGTCCTTTCGCCTTAGCAAACGGATTCTCTATACGACCGCATAGGTGTTTGAGAACCTCAAATGCCACTTTTAGGTTCTAATACTCGTACACGGCTATTAAGCCCTGAGTGGAATGTGATCGCCCTATGTAAGGCGATGCCAAGTCATGTGGGCATTACTTTAATGAGATAACTTGGCAAAAGAGAGTTTCCTTTCAAAACAACACGTTTTTATGGACTTACCAGTTTCAGGAAAGAAGCGAAAGAAATAATCTTGCTTCGTCAAACGATTAGACTGTAGGTAAAACATAGAACCACAGAGCCAAAAAAACTATGAGCCAAACATACTCGTGTGATTCGAAACTTACAAAGGTTTTGTTAGCGGAAAAAACCGAACTCTAGACTGCTTTTAGTACTATTCACAAGGCATTGTCCTTTGACGTCGCATGCCTTTAATCGAGGTCTGGTGGAGGAGAACAGGAACAGCAAATGTAGGGAGTATTTGGACAGTGGAACACGCAATTTGCGTGTGTCTAGGATTTGGCAGACAAAGAATATGCTTACTGGGTGCAGAAAAGATGCAGGACCAACAGTCATCAATATGGAAAGGACCAAAATGACTGATTCAATTTGCAAACAGAAGAGCAATGTTCTTCAAACTAGAGACACTTTATATTGTAGCGAATCTTGTAACAGAACGAACGTAGTATCGTCTAAGTGAGACTGGAAGGGACAACTAGTTAAAACTAACTTAACCACATACGAGTAATTCAGAGAACACCTTAAAGTTCTTAAGGCTCTAGAGCAGTTAAAGATTTTTCTTTCACTGACTAGAACTGGTAGCAGCTCGTCTTGTATTCCATATTATCTCTTGAAAGATACGCGTTTTTACGATAAAGTCATTACAGCATCCAAATGAAGAGTCTTCGTATGGCGCCTGTGGTAGGCGCCCTTTTCATTTACTATATGAATAGATTGGATAAGGTTAAGTTAATCTAGGTGGTTGTTGCATCTTCGTAGTCATTTGAAAAGCTGAAGTAGCCACCTGTAGTCCTCGAACGGTTCAGTTTTGAGACTTTTTGCGGTTTTGCAGATTGTTAAGACATCTCACTTCGCTGGTATCTGCCTTCCAACTCCCCAGGCAATTTCTTTATAGACGTGTTGCTAATCGAGTCGTGCTGGAAGGTACCGAGGAAAACTTAGCGAAGCCGGTAAATTGAGTAACCCTTTGAAGATAGCCATTAGAACAGCTTTTAGAACTCTTGCGCCGGATCCACTCCAATTTTTTTTTTTTTTTTGGTGCGAAATTTCATTGACTGGATGATTGCGCCATACGTGAAGATCCAATCATGCTCAAGCGGATAATGCTCTAAGCCAAGCTAATCTACGCAGATCCGGATTCCTTCTTGATGTACTCAAACTCTCACCTCGAAAAACGCAACTTCGAAGAAAAATCACATATACATTTTTGTCAACTAGTCAACATACTAGACCAGTTAAGGGGAAAAACTTACATACCTACCAAAATGGCAGTAAATATAACAATAATAAAATTGTAGCGCAACATTATCGATGAGCTGGGCACGACGCCGCGCAGTCACTTCATCGTGCAATTCGTGTCGGACAACATACGAGAGCACTGTGGGTACAAAACGTTCTTTGAAGAACTGAAAATTCAATCAATAGCGAGTGTATTCTCCAATGGCGGTAAGTAACGAGTTGAAGTTGCGAATAACTGCAATTAGTATTGGCGGAGAAGCGTTGAACGGAGGACTAAAAAGAAAAGAACGCCAGCGGCCAGGGATGAGTTGCGGCAGACAATGTGCGCAAAGTAATTGCGGATGACCAACGACAAATGTGAAAACAATGAAAATGTACAAAAAAAAAAAAAAATAAAAGAAAGATAATAATAACAATAACAAAGGCAACAACAAAGCGAGACTGGACTAGACAAGATGAACCTGGAATGCATTGTAATAAAAGAAACTTGGAACAGCAAACCAACATGCGGCAATTATGAACGGAAAACAACAACAAATTACAACAACTACAACTCAATTGTCTATTATACGAGTATGCTCCGAAAATCATTGAGCATAAAGGGAATACGTGTAAATAGCGCACATGAAAAATTCAAAAGCCCACAAAGTAATAAAACACACAAAATATAATTGACGGTATGAAGCGCACGAGATGAGGAGAGCTTAAGAATGGTAAGAAGAAGAAGCATAGAGACGCTGAGGGCAGTAAGCAGACAAACTTGTCCGACACGAAACTATAAAATTAAGAAATTCGCCCGCATAATAACAAAGATATGTGGATACATACATACATATATGTATATATGTATACTATATACTTGTATATACATAAAACTCCACACACACGCACATATGTATGCATATTTGCTCGCTCATAAAACTGAACATCCACAAAGTTATTGCCCAACATTTATTGCTATTCAATGAAGCTGCCGCCCCAGAGCTGCTAAGAACTCTTGCAGAAGATATTCTTTGTCAGCAATAAAAATGACCGTCGCGTAAAGCTCATAGAAGACGTACAAATGCTACTCCTACACCTACACGAGAGCACACACATATCTCACCTGCACGCTCCAAGCAGCCATGAACTGCAGTCCAGTCCGGCCCAGCCAGTCCTAGACGTGCCGCAGCATAGGTGTGCAATAATAATCATTTGTGGAATATGTTCATGTTGCACACGTTTGCTTGAAGAGCAATTGTGTTGTCTCATCTGCCATCTGCTTCTTCGCTGTCTACTGGACACGTTGACAGAATTCAACAGTTTAATTGGAAGATTTACTTTATTTGTTTTATTTTTGTTCTTTGACTGCGCTGAGAAGTTTGAGTCGATTTGTACTTGGAAATGGAGTTGTCGTTGAGGGAACATTGCTTTAAATACATATATTTTCCCATGCACACAGCGTACATATAAAAAGGCGTAGATTTGTTGTTGGATTTATGATGGGAGAGTGATTTTATCGCTGCGTCCTGACAGTAACCCCGGTATATGAATATCACGCCGCAAAGACACTTCAGCACACAAGTTTGGGAATAAAGCCACTACAAGGAAACACCTCGAAACGACTTGAGACAGATGGACTTCGCCAAGGCCCAAAAAGTTGTTGCCTGTAGTCCTGCAGTCAGTAAACACAAGAAAGGTTCGACGTCAAAAGCTAAAAGCTACAATCAGTACAGCCAGATTAACGGTTTTCTACACGACTTAGATTTCCGGTTTCTGAAATTGATTTTCAACAAAGCCAAAGAAGCTGCTGGTACGAACGCTGGAATGGCAGGGACGTAGTGGAGAGAAAACATATTACCTGCCTCACAGCGTACGATGGACTGCAACACTGCGTGTAGGCAAAACTATAAAGAAAAACGGGAGGCTTCAGTGTGAAGAGTTAAAAAAGCTGACCTTCAAAGCTAAAGCTCGAAAATTGTATACTTACGCCGGATTCAAGAAGTGATCTGATCACCTGTTTCCAGCACATACTGAGTTATTAGAAGGAACACTTTTCCAGCCTGCATAACTGCAGTACTGGAAAAGAACTTCTAACATCCGACTATGACGATGTTCGTACAGCGATTGCACAAAGCGGCGAGAGCCGAGGCTTTAATATTCAAATATTGTTGTGAAGAGCTGGCAAACTGCTTAATCAACCGAAAGCATGCCTGACGATTGGATCTTGAGAGTGCTTTGGCTAATCCACACAAAAAGGGGCTTCGCAAAAAAGCCCAATATCAGCAAAATGATTGGAACTTATCAGTGTGGATTCCGACCTGATAAATCCACCCTTGCACGAATATTCACCTTGTGCGACCTGTGACAACAGAAAGACCGTTTGTATAGATTTCGTCGAACTCAACAACGGCGCCGTTTATTCTTATCTCTCCGGATTAGACTAAGAAGCGAATACTAGTGGCTGGCTAGAATGGCTCTGGATGAACAAGCAGAGGAAGATCTCCAATGCACTAAAATTGACAGGTGAGGAAAGATCATAGTCCGTTCTGTTTCCTTAGATAATATATATACATTTACGTAAGCGGTGCTTTCTAACATATCCATTCAATTTATCGACTTCAAGAAACAACTCTCATCTTGTGATGATGTGCGTCACCATGTTTTCCAACAAATGGAGAAACCATCAGTTTTATGCCGCCCAAATAACTAATTTGTGTGTCATGTCAGAAATACACCAACCAACCTCGGAGCGAGATCTTTGCAAAAAAACATCTTGTTGATTGACCAGGGGCATAAAAGACTCGACAATCGTTTCAGGAAAAACGAAAAAGGCGAGTTCATAATTAATCAATCATTTTCCAAATGCATTGAGCTTTCTTCCAACGGTAAAATATATGTAAATGCAAATACTTAAGTGGAAAACATGCACTTTTACTCACCCAAATAACATTGATGTTGGCTGCAACCAGTTCATGCGGAAGACGTCGCTGCCGTTGCCGCTGCCACCGACACTTGTACTCGTCGCCTCGAGGCGTGTGTAGTCGTCCAACACTTGTGCTGTGGTGAGGGTTGTAACACTAGTTGTTGTAACCGCACTTGCAATGCGGCCGCCGCTTGAAGCGCCATACGGACCACCAGCGCCACTAATGGCCACACTTCCGCCAGCCGCTGATGAGACACCAAAGCCGCCCATTAGAGACGGCCTACTGACCGCATCCTTTTTGCTGGTCGTCAAAGCGGTTTTTGTTGTATTTGCTTTGTTAGCGGTTGTGGTGGTTGTTTTTGCTATGGCTTTTGTAGCGCGTTGTTGTTGTTGCAGCAGTTTTACATGCAACTTCTGCGGTTGCTGCAACTGTTTGTGCTGATATGACCACAACGGCAATTTCTCAATACGACGCACATCGGCGGACAGACCGTGGCAATGCGTTGCTGCAGTTGTGTCGTGCTCGTCGGCAAGGAGGGGCGCAACATTTCCGGCTGTTGCCACCAATTCACATCCGTTGCAGCCACCATCCGCACTACCGCCGCCACGGACTGGATTGGACGTATTCGGTTGGTGCTGGCGGCGACTCGTTGGTGTTGGCATGTTGTTGGTGGAAGTGTGTGTTGCTGTTTGTGGCAATCTGCTGGTGGCATGCTGATTGAGTCGTTGCTGTTGCTGATGCTGCTGCTGATTGCGCGCTGTACTGTTTGTTATGGTAGTTGTAGTTATTGTTGTTGTTTGTGTTTTAGCCATCTTTGTGACTGGAAAGTGTGCTGTAGTAGTTGTTGTTGTTGCTGTTGCAGCATTGCGAATTTTCGTTTGATTACACGAATTCGCCGCCGAGGCGCAACAACGATGGGTTTGCGGTTGTTTTTGTTGTTGTTGTTGTTGTGTTTGTTGCTGATTGTGATAGCGATTATAACGTTGGGGTATTGCTGTGGTAGCAGCCGTTGTTGTCGTTATGGTTGTTGTTGTTGGCGCTGTTGCTGGTATTATTTGCACTTTAGTCGGCTGCCTCGATTGTTGTTGCTGTTGTTGCCGCTTCTCTTTCTGTGCATTCGCCGATTGTTGTTGTTGTTGCTGTTGCTGATGTTGTACAAATTGATTATTGTGGTTAGTGCGCAAAGCACCATGCAGATAACCGGTCGTTGTCTGCCCCATCCCACCAGCACTCCCCCCGCCTCCGCCGACGCCGCTACCACCGACCCCACTCCCGCCCCCACTTCCCACACCTCCGCCACCAGCAATAGTTAATGGCGATGAGCTATTCGATGTATTTGATGCGCTGCGCTGATGTAAGTGATGTGTGGGCGGTAAAAGTCTTGAACTCGGCGATGATCTCAAGTCATTGAGCATAATATCCAAGTCCGTCGCCAGCGAGCTGAGCAGCTGGAATGAGAAGGAAGGAAAACAGAAGCGATGAGAAAAAATTATTATTTACAACAATTGAGGTACTTATGCATAATATACCGTTACTAGAGTTATTATTTAAAAATATTAGGTATTAAATCACAGATAACGGTAACGTTTCGCCACTTCGTTCATAATCACTGAGCGAGCACTCAAGTGCGAAATTTTATTACAAGATAATCCTCTTCTGAGACGGGGTATTAGATTTTACAAAAAAATTCTAGTTAACCTGTAGCTGTGGCCAGCTTGTTACACTTCAAAGGTCTCCACACAACTAGACGGTGTTTCTTCGATCGCATAAGGCGATGGCAGCTCAATATTTACGACCGTTCGGAATAATAATGCTCTCTCTATGACCTATCCTGCTTCTTTATTATCTGCAAGACTTTTTAAAACATCACAAGAAAAATCCATAGCGACACTCTATGCGAGCTGGAGATAGGTTTACTGGCTCGACCTAAATATCATACTTGACGACGTCAAAATATCGCGTGTTAATGACCCAAAATAACTGAGAGTGACATGGAAGGATTTACTCCGCAATTAAGAAAATTGAATGATACATCCATCCTTCCAGTTGAAAAGCACCTTAAAGTAGAACCCCTACAAGGCTCGCATATCTGAAGGGAGGTTAACCATTCAGAAATACACTGCAAGTCCACAGTCGACCAAGGCCAAGAGCAGTCGAAGAGCTCAACCTTTCCTCCGTGAGAGATTTTTAATGCTGGAACCAATAAGATGTGGTTGAAAACTTTACTTCTAGTTTTCTATACTCAATCATGACACATCTAACGAATGTTCTGAAGGACACCAATCACCTCTCGGCAGTTGTTTACCAACCACTTCCTCTTTGTCCGAACATTCCAAGATCTTGTTTTCCGGACATTTCATTAACTGTTCCGAACGGTATCGACTAGCTTGGGCTGCTATTAAAGGGGGTTGCCTATCTGCGGCCTTAAGGAAAGTTTGAAATCGAAAAGCCGTTATCACAGCAGACAGCCAGCCGGTTCAACTAGCATTTCTGCCCCCTGAGAACACTCAACATTGAACAATAACTCAAAATAAGGGAACTGTGGGACGATGCCGAAGGGGGACGAGAGGGAGAAAGACTGGCTGGAAAAGATACAGAAAATTGAAGAGAAAAGCTAAAAAAGAAGAAAAGAAATCTAAATACGTGAGCACGAAAAGCATTTTAGACTTTATTGAGGCAACACTAAACGCAATGAAAGTTAAAGGTATGCCGAACAATCGATGGTGTTGAGAGAGATATTCCATTACTCGACCATGATTATGTGCAAACAACGTGGCTAAGTTCTTGAAAGGGCTTACATCAGCTTCTATTAGAATTTGGACGGTTAAGTGCAGGCCGGACGATTGATCTGTGATCTGCACAAATCCTCAAGAATGCATCTTATCAATGAGTTCAGCTCTTCTCTCGCCATTAACCAGTTATTCACCATAAGTTAGAAAAGTCCGGTGAGTAAAGAATTATTATAGACTATCATTATTTTTAAAGCAGTCTTCGATAGGACCATTCTCGCAAGACTTATGTATCTTTGTAGGCAAAACACTGAGCAACGTCAAGAGCTCTGTCAGGGAAAAGCAGAATACTCACCGGGACCTTGGATACCAATCTTCATCGTGTTTTCTTCCTCCAAATGGCAACCATGGCCATCGTTAACAATATTTTCAGCCTTGAAATCCAAGCCAAATTCAACCGTGTCAGTAGGCGCTGTTCGGACTGAGTGGACAAGTGAAGAATAAATATATTTTTTGCCAAACAAAGCCCAAACATTACAAGTCGTACAATAGTTTCGTTCTGTTTTATGATTCGAAGGCTCGAGCGATGACAACACTTGACGAGTCAGACGCTAAAAGATTCCGAGAAAAAGGTGTTGCACAAGATTTAAGTTCCTCTGTAAGTGTGCAGGAGCGATGAACTGTTGAAATATACGGCAGCATTGAGAGTGATTAGCGAATTAATTATATGGTTATTTGTATGTATGAAAACACTCCAACTCTGAAAGTATTAAATACCCGCCATTAGAAGCAGGGGCATATAGCCAAACCTTTAGACATACGGACGGACGCGACACGTTTTGATAAGCCGCCCCCTGCTGCTTACCAGCACTAAGGAATGTCTGTCGCTTGAGGAGACTAAAACCCAATAGATCCCGCGACAGTCGAGTCTTTATAGCGGAACCGCTCAGACATCAAGACGCACTCCACCAACTGTAGGAGAAGGTCGACCGAAATTTGCTTCAGCGGTTACCAAGCGCTAATTATATAATAAAGCGCTGTCAACCACACAAGATTTTCCAAAAACCAATTTGTGGAATATATTGCGGTTACAACAACAACACAGAAGTTTAACTCTTCTTCTTCCGATGCTCGTTGTACATACTTTAGACCGTGCGGAGTAGGCCGCAAAGGCATAAAAATAGCTGAGTTTTCTTTCTTATGTACTTTTATCTGTTTCTCAAAGTTTCAACATTCTTTAGATATATACAGTATGTATGTACATAGTCTGCAAGCAAAGCTGTTTTATACATAGAGTAATATTTTTTTTTGTTATTTCTGCGAGAAAGCAACTAGAGCAACCTATTTCAGCAAGTGTTGGGTTTCCACAAAAAATAAAAAAAAAAAAAAAAAAAAAAAAAAAAAAAAAAAAAAAAAAAAAAAAAAAAAAAAACAAAAAAAAGATAAAACTATAATAAAAAATTATTGCTTTCTTTTTTGGCAAATATCTACATATGTATGTATGTGTGTGTGTATGTATGTATTTCCAAGCGAAAACATACATATGTTTGTACGTAATTCAGACATTGTCTTATCAATTTCGCCGCTTGTCAAAACGTTTGTGCAAGCTTGTCAAATGCACTCCATTTAATTGGAAATTGCCGAAAACTATACACACATACACGCATATACATTATACCTACTTTTAATATACCATTATATTTACTTAAGAAAAATGTTTACTTATCAACGAGTCAACGGAACAATGAAATTGTCATAGATCGCGGCTTGAGGGTACTTAATTTTAGAAAAGTGTGAATAGTCAAAAAAAGCTTGTCGCGCCGACCGAAACGCAACGAGCGTAGTTAGCGAGTTTTGCGCTGGAAAGAAAGTAAAAAACCCGTCAAGATGGCGAAAGTACGTCCACGTAAAGTGAAGAATTTAGTGCGCAAGCTCTTATATTTCATAGGCTTCGTCATCGTACTCTCATTTTTCACAACAATGTTGGTGGAGCGGCGGCTGGAGCGACGTTCGACAGAGATGGTGCCCACGGTAGCAACTGATTTCAATGGGGATCCCGTTACGCCAGAATTTGTACCACGTGTACGCGTACATACTCAACGACCACCCAAACCACCCGTGCAAGAGCGCGTAGTCGTGCCGCCACCACTACAGGCGCATGAGGGTGTCGACGCACCGGGAAGAGAGATTCGCGATGCTGAGCATAAGAAAAAAGCGGTAAAGGGAATATTTAGGGTGCCATATGCTGTGGGCGAGAAAAAAGATTGGGAGGACTATGAGCTTCTCGCGAGTGATGCGAAACGAGTGGGCCTGGGCGAACAGGGTCGGTCTGCGCACATTACCGATGAGAGTTTGAAGGAGTTGGAGAAAAATATTTCACTGCAGAATGGTTTCAATGCCATGTTGTCTGATATGATATCCGTTAATAGATCGCTGCTGGATGCCAGACATAAAGAGTGAGTTTGTGGTGGTGGCAAATATTGAATTTATTTAAAATTTAAGCGAATTGTAAAAGTACATTTGCCACAATCAAAATCTGGAAGCCTTCGGTGGGCTTTATTAGTTTTCAAGAGGCTTCCATATCGGGAAGACTTGCTGCTCACCTGTTTGGTGTGTGGAGGGCTTATCCGCAATAAAGGAGTGCGGCTGCAGTAGACGTATAGGTAGCACTCACTACCAAGTGGAGTGTCATCGGTTCATGCCTTTGCCAGATCGACATATAAATAATTTTACTTTTTTGAAATGAAATATACCGGAGCGTATTTCCCGTATGAGGTAAAGGCTAAACCGCATTGCAGTCGATCTCTTCCTCCAATTTCTGAACATCTCTTCCTAACAGTCTAGCAGTCATTCGGAGGGGGCTTAAAACTAAAGGTTCCTTTACTTTGTAGAGACTCCGAGAACAAGTCTGTGGAAAAGCTCAGCTGAAACTCGCTTAATCGTTGTTTACGCCAAATAAGAAGAGAAAGAAAGTGTCACTGCCTTGAGAGGCCACTTAGATCCTATAATTTTCATGTCGTAAGTTCCTGACTTCAATCTGATGAATGTTCTGTGGCTACAAAAACCACAAATCTTACAGCTCTACAAGTCGCTTTACTCAACTAACTAAGTTAAGGGATTCACCAAGTGGGTTTCGGCAGACTAAATGATGAATTAAAACTTCAGATCTTCGATCTTCCCTAGACAAGGTTAGCAAGTAAAAATCCGCGAGGTCTCATTTTAGCGGAAGAAGAAAATTCGTTTGAGCAACCTCTTCAAGCTACATCAAATGTGTAGACATTTTTAATCTCTTTCTACAGAGGAATGCCACTTTCAAGGAAAGAATTTCAATTTAGGGAATTTCAGATTTTCGAATGAAACATTAAGAGCGCTGGAACACACACGCTGACACTAAACTATCTCATATTAAGGTCTCGCCAATATGACATTTTATGATTCTTTCTCTCACTTTTTCTCCCGCACAGTTGCCGCCTTATACGTTACCTGGCCAAGCTGCCCTCCACGAGTGTGGTTATTCCCTTCCACAACGAACACATCACGGCGCTACAGCGCACAATGCACAGCATTGTCAATCGTACGCCACGCGAGTTGCTCAAACAAATCGTCATCGTTGACGACGGCAGCAAACGTGAAAATCTAAAAACTGAGCTGGACGAATATGTGGCAGAGCATTTCGGCAATTTGGTAACCATCGTGCGACTACCCGAACGTACTGGATTGATAAATGCGCGCTTGGCGGGCGCACGAGCAGCGGATGGTGAAGTTTTAGTATTCTTCGACTCCCACATCGAATGTAATTATAATTGGCTGCCGCCACTACTCGAGCCGATTGCGGTGAATTACAAGATATCGACTTGTCCGATTGTTGATGTCATCGATCATACGGATTTCGGTTATAAAGGCTTGCATCAAGAGGGTGCACGCGGCGCTTTCGATTGGAAATTGCATTACAAACAACTACCAATGCTGCCCGGTCAAAATGTTAATCACACAGAGCCTGTTTCAAACCCAGTCATGATGGGTGGTCTTTTCGCGATTAGTCGGAAATTTTTTTGGGAACTAGGCGGTTATGATGAGGGTTTGGATATTTGGGGTGCCGAGCAATTTGAGTTGAGTTTCAAAATCTGGATGTGTGGCGGAATGCTCTTCGACGTGCCATGCTCACGTGTGGCACACATCTTTCGTGGACCCTGGGGCAGTCAACCCAGTCCGCGTAATTACAACTTCTTTGCCAGAGTGAGTTCGTATGGATGTGGAGACATCGAGTAATGCGTAAGCTTCAACACTTTCAACTTTTTCAGAACTGTAAACGTGTTGCCGAGGTGTGGATGGACGAATATAAGGAGTATCTTTACCAACGCAATCCTGAGGAGTTTTCCATTGAAGCAGGCGATTTGACGGCGCAACATGCCGTACGCGAACGTCTCAACTGCAAATCTTTCAAGTGGTTCTTGGAGGAGGTGGCGCCTGATTTGCTAGTGAAATATCCGCCTGTCGAACCGCCAGCCTACGCCTCGGGCGCAATACAAAGTATCTCATACCCACACCTTTGTCTAGATACTATGAATAAGGGTAATGAAAACGCTGTGGGGCTCTTCAGCTGCGCTGAGAATAAAACACGTCCACATGACAATCAATATTGGCAATTAAGTTATGCGCGGGATTTGCGGCTGCACGACAGCGAAGTTTGCTTGGATGTGCAGACGTCGCACGTGAACTCTACAGTGTGGATGTGGTCGTGCCACCAACAGGGTGGCAACCAGTTTTGGTACTATGATCGTGCGCATCAGTGGCTGGTGCATGGCCGAGGCGGACATATGTGCTTGGAGGCTATTACTGACGGTGATAAGCATTGGGTATACACCAATATGTGCGACTTCTCCAATCCGCGCATGCGCTGGAGCTTTGGTTGGGTCAATGAAACCGCTCTGGATGCCTTCCATGCTGGTCTAAAGCACGACCAGTAACAGTTTTTTTGATATTTAAGTAATAATTACAACGGCTTAATGCCATTAGCTAAGGAGTCGACCAGCTTTATGCCCTCAGGCGGTACACGGCATTGCTTAGTTGCATGTACTATACAAACACTTATATATGTAAGTTTGTAGACATTTTCTGTGCCCGCCTTTAACAAGTTCGTTGAAAATAAAGTCTTCTCGTTTGCCACACAACATCGTTGTTATTGTATGTAAATAAATGTCTGTTGTTCACGCCGTCAGTCCAGCTTGTTGTTCGCCATCTCACCACTAATCGCCGTCCAAACGATGACTCGCAAGTAATTAATTGAACCACTTAACAAGCTAAATTAATCTTTCTTCACTCGTCAACTGCATGGTGCTCACCAAGCGCGTTGTTACAACTCTATAAACGCGCCTCCGAGTGTGAAGTCGTACGTACCAGACGCTATCAGCTGACATTATTATTTTTTCCTTTTATTTCTTTCATATTTTTATCGCTTTCCAGCTTGAAGCTCCGCTTCGCTCTTTTGCATACCAACCTCGCGGGCTTGTCGTTGCGTCCTCCTCTACCGCAGCTGTCTGTCGTCACTGGAAGCACTGTTCGTTCCCAGCGGTCAACCAACTTCATTCACGCCACTTTGCGCCGCTCCACGCCTGATTGCCGTGAATTGCCTGTACATTGTCGTACTGCTCGTATGTTCGGCCGCCTTTTGGTCTAGTAGCATTTTTATGCTTCACATTTTATTGCGCTCTTCGTTTTCTTCGTTTATTTTCTGTACGCTGTTGAAATTTACAGTTACTCCAAGCTTGATTGATTAAAAGAAGGTCAAAAGCAGCACATGAAAAATGGTTTACACGCGCAATCATAGGACAAGAGCCGCCTTTTGGTGCTGCACTTGTGGACTTGATCTCCTTGGGCTCGTGAGTGGGCGAAGCAAGGCGCGGAAGGAAGTGTTGAGATAGCTAAGCGCAGCCACTGGCGGTATTTCATAATCGCTGACGCACATTTGAATTGAGTGTTGATTAGAGCGCAGCGGCCACGCTCTGTAAGAATATTTGTCTACGGTTCGTGTAATTCAATGCATTTGGCGGAGGCGGTGGTTTGGGGTACCTTGGTATACGTACTTTGAACTGCTATTACATATGTAAGTTGGTGCTGCAGCAAGTTGATTATGAATGTTGTTTGTAATTGTATAGCCTTTGGAATTGCATGTTGTTTTTTGTGCCCACAGTGCAGTTATCCGTGACTAATTTAGTCTCATTCATTCAACTTGAACGCAGCGTAAATTCCTAAATATAATTTGGACTTTTTAAGTCAGGAGGCACAACTAACCACCTGCGTTCCAAAAGTGTAGGGGAAACAAAGGCATTTGAGGGGAAGTCCGAATCCGGTGCTTCCATCAGTTACTAGGCAAAGCCAATGTCATCCAACCCCCCTCACTCTACGTGGTTTTCTAGAATGTAAATACAAGAGTATCAGGAGTCTATCACGAGTACGTAAGAAGAAGAACGCCTCCAGGTTTACTCGCTTTTGACAAGGACCGATTGAGTCGATTGAGTAGAGTAATTACATAAACCGATGATATTGCTGTAGCTTATAGTGACAATTCGCAGGCAGCACTTAAGTAAAGACACTCCGCGCCCTCTAGCAAATATATGTAGGTAATCTTAGACGAAGTGAGATCGGAAGAGGTCGTGTGGCACATACATTCTTGTGGCTGCCTCATTTTAGGCAACCCTTTAGAAGTTACCATCGTTTTGGACTCTCCTGACAAGATCAACCGTTCCCAGCAGGTCGGACGAAGCGATAAAATTTCTGTTCAATTTAAGCTGTCATGAAAATTTAGGAATGTTTAAAGAAGACGCACGGTATGAGCATGTATTAATTCCCCAAAGATTTTTTGTGCTACAGTATAAAAGAAGTCTGTAGAACACTAACTCTATCATTGTCTGGTCTTTAGTACGGCTTGACCACGTTTCGTGGTAAAATTTCACTATGACTGCCCTTCAGAAATGGCTTCAGCAAGTGTAAGTGATTTAGAGGGTTTCATAAAGCATCCGAAATGGTTTTAGCTTCAACGAATGTATGATTTTCCTAGTAGACCTAGTAAGTGGTATCGCAACGGGACCAGAGATCTTAATGTGATTGGTCATATGCTTAGGTTCTGGAAATCACACCCAACCTCTTCTTAAAGGATGTGCGATATAACCGATTCCGGAAAGCATCCAGCAGCTTTAACTTAGTGGGGACTTATTGCGCTCTATTACTGCGGAGGATGAGTTCATATCATAGCCAAGCTAACATCGAAAATAATACGAATAATATGAATATATCTCATATGAGTTGTAAATTCGGGTTAGAGCAAGTTAGAATGAATTGTACATCTTCAGACGGTAACACTCGCGCACTCGTCTTAATTTGTAGGAGATGGCTGATCACCACAGGATTCTTAGTCCCAGTTATAGAGAATGAAAGTTTAATGCAGGTAACTGCTTGGCAAGACAAGGCCAGGTGGAATCGTCGAAAAGCCTCTAGCAGACTGGTACTGATGGAATGTCGATATGTATAAACAAACTGCACTGTTAGATGATTCACGCCTTGGTAACAAATCTATTGAGCTTATTTTGAGAATTTATAGTTAGCGAGCTAAAAGATCTGAACTAGTGTGGTATCACCATGGATCTCTTCAGGGTTTATTTTGCTAGCAGGGATGTGGAACGAAACTGAACTTGATATGTTCATGATATCTGCTCCCCTGTACCTGGCCGAGGAAATCACTTTATAATCCTTAATTTTTGGTAAAATAAAGAGCTGGCAGTTCTTTTCATTTATCTCCACCAAAATGAGAGGGTGGGCAAAGAAGGTACTTTTGGCACAACTGTCGGAAAATTCAGCCTCCACAACGAAACATCCCCAAATGTGTTGAGGTTGATTTACTTTTTTGGGGCACAACCACAGACGACCAACCTAAATTCCAGCACAAGAAAATTCCTCAAGCTACTTGGTTATATCCAGAATCATTCAAGGTGTTATAAACGGAAAACATGTCTCCATTATTCTTGACGTGCGTTCACTTCGAGCACCCTACATCGACTCGGATCGCTATGTTGAAGCAGCGAAAAGAAAAAAAATGGCGAAATGTTATTAATTTGGTGATAATTGCGTAAGCGGTGTCTACGCCAGTAAAGAAGAGGAAAAAGAAGAATCTTAAAATAGATCGTGCGAATATATATACATATGCACATAACTACAGCAAATATTATCTTAAGTAATTCATCAATATCTTAATTTGGACACTCATTAATACAATATTATCTCAGAAAACACTCGAACCGATGCTTCGAAGCATAGAATTGGAGTAAGTAAACACAATTAAAGTACTCCTACATACATACTCGACAATACAAAGATATACAATATATAGGAGTATACATACACATACACATATGTATGCAAGTAATGGGTTTAATTTCATGGCATCCAACTACCGAAACAGAAGTTCAAGAGCACAAACAACTCGAGCGCAATTAACGATGACGAGAGCGAACGACGACGTCGACGGCAGCAGCGGCGCGATTATGACAAAGCAAGAACCGAACCACAATCAAGTGGATTAAAAATTATGATCTTCCGTTGGGCAAGCAATAAAAAGAAATAAAAAGAAGAGTTCATAAAAAAGAAAGAAAAATAAAAATCTCATAATCAAATATTATCAAGCAAGTGGTTAGATATTTGTTTGTATTTGTATGCGTAAGCTGTAAAGCAGCAGAAGGGAAAATTCAGAAAGAGTTTAGCGAAAGCAATGATGGATTGAATTACAGTTTCAAAGAGAATGCACAGTGTTCTGTGTTTTCTATATTAATTTTGAGCATTGATTTTTGAAAAAGTTGTTCCATAGCAAGTTTAAGATAATTTACGGACATCTGTAGGCGCTTTTTTGCAATAACTTTCTATAGGTCTCCTCAACAGCTTTTCTTTTTGGTACAACAACTCTGTAGAGTCAACCTTGAGGAGCGACTGCAGTGGCCAAGAAATTAGCAGCTCTATTATACCATACAGAGGGGCGTGGGTTCGAATCTTGACCAGACGAAGATCTGTTCGGCACTTGGCAGAGAATGTCTAAGAAATTATTTTGTAAAAATTGGGAGACATTATTTTTGGAGTTTCGTATTCCATTTGTTAGATTTCCTCACGTTTAAAAAGCTCATAAAGCTCATAATTTCAACTGTCTCAGCTTCAGAACTAAGGTATTTGTTAGTTTCAACTTTACGCCGCACATCGATATAATTAATCGTGCAAATTGCGTTATTGATTTGTTGTCCTCAATTCTTATGCTCCGAACAAAGTAAATTCTAAATAAACCCAACTTCAGTTAAGCATTCATCAAATAAACGTTACGTTGGGGGAAATTTACTTATATATACGATATTGGTATATATAAAGAGGGACCGTTGGAAGAGTAAAAGCGTCATTCATTTAACAATTTTAAGAGAGGATATAGAACATATAAATCCGAGCGTATTTCCAACATAATTGTCTCAAAAGTTTGGATGTCTTGAAACTGAGTTCAGAAGAGTGTCACCAGTAAGGGCTTCATAGTAGATCGGCTTCGCAGCTTTCAGTAACCTTTAGGAATGGTTGTTGTCTTGTGGAACTCACTGAAGGCTGTTTATAACTTATGTTGGGTATTTCGGGTCGACTTGGGTAAGGTGGTCAGTTTTTTCATCTCCAATAATAGCTGATCAGTTGTCAACAAACCCAATCGCGAAAGGATAATTAGAAAAGAAGTTGATTGACTCTCCATGAATAGAATTAAATATCCATTATTTTTTCTATATTTCCATATGGAGTCTGTGTAGTTTTTAACTGCCGTACAATGTGCTTGGTGGGTGGCACTGGTCCAAACAGGTAACTGCGGTTGTGATCCCTAAGATACGACCCTAGGAGATACTACCTGCAGCGGATTACATTATGGTCTTCAATTAGAAGCATAAATGTCACATTTTGAAGATGGTGAGAGTACTTTTAGGTTGTGGACCCCTTTCACATCATCGACTTTGGCCTTTAAATCTAGCTGGTCGTTCTGCGTCTGAATAGTGAAAACAATTGCCAAGAACTATGTGGGCAAGTTTCGTAGAGGCCTGAGAGTGCAAGAATGGGAAAAGTCGGAGAGATCGATATTTACTTTCGGATGTA